TTCACATTTTGAACATCCATACCCGTCAAAGGGACCCCGAACTCACAACATTCGTGTCCAATCGTTTTCATCACACAAGTTTCGTTTGCTCATTTGACCCTCTTTTCATACTTACATTTTCACAAACACCTTGCAATCAATATTTTCCATCACCTTTGATCTAGTTTAAGAATGAATTAACACAACCTAGTCCTCGTGATCGACCCCGGTTCTACAACTACCGTATACTTGCGGATAGTGGTACGAATCGGGTTACAAATTTAGAACTCGGTGCGTGCGCATCACTCGCACATGGTGAGTGGGGGGCCATGCAACTCTTAGTGGATGCCATCTACTTTGGATATTTTGGTAAGTTTTGGTTATTTCTTGCACGATGCAATATATATATATACATGTTTTGAATATTTTGGTAAGTCTTGGATTGTATTCTCTTACATATATATATATATATATATATGACAGATATTGTCAGCCACCTACTCGATGTACTGCAACCCCACGCTGTGGTTACACAACACCCAAATGTAGCTGTGATTCCCATTGCTGTTTTGGCTTCATGTTCTGATTTTTTTAAAAGCAGCAGCAATCTGTTCTTACGTCAACGCCTGATCTACTCAAGTATGTACTGTAATACTGTATGTATATACTTGTTATTTACTATTTGTTTTCATGCATGGGGAGTCGAATTCTCATGCACTGATTGCACGACAGTGATACAAGTAAACCATGCACCAAATAGAACAAATAACGGTATGCATATACATCCACTCTTCAGATTATTAAATTCTTTGTCCATTATTAGTCAACGGTATTTTGTTTTTTTTTTTGGGGTTATTCACTTCATTCCATTGGTATCAGGTCTAACCGCGAAGATACTTCAATGTTTCTCCGAGCGGAAATGGTTTGGTATGTCACCCTCCCATATATATATATATATATATGTGATGGGGAAATATGACGTAACATCTTCCGTATCTTTCACTTACACAGGAATCAATAGAATGTATGAACTGAAGATGCTGCACAACACAGCTTATGACATTCTACAATTGATGTGTGACAAAACTTCACGGCTGCCCAAGTACGGGGATTGGACGACTGCAGTAGTGATAGCACTCTTTTACGCGGTTAGCTATGGGAACCGGGAATTCGTGATCGAGATCGTCAGACACAACCCGGAGCTCATATGGTTTGGTCCTGATGGGAGGAATATCTTCATGATGGCTGTGGAGTTCCGAAAAGAGAGGATCTTCGAGCTGTTCTTCGGCTTAGATGATAGGAAACACGATTTGATTAATGATTTGGACAACAAAAAAAACAGGATTCTTCACTTCGCAGGAGGCATCTCCCCGCCTGAAGAACTCTCCCGGGTAGCTGGTGCAGCTCTCAAGATGCAACGAGAGATCCAATGGTTTAAGGTATGCCTTTGTGCTTTATTCATCGTTCATAGCCTTGTGTTTCACAAACGATCCTCTTGTGTAGGAAATAGAGAGCCTAGTCCGAGAAAAGAATAGATGGAGGCTTAACGAGGAGAAGCTTACAGGACGTCAAGTATTCGAAAGAGATCACAAAGAGCTGCGAGCGGAAGCCGAGAAATGGATGAAAGACACTGCCACAGCGTGTAGCCTAGTGGCCGGTCTCCTTGCAACGATCACATTTCAAGCCATTTTCACCTCTCCCGGAGGCACTGAGGGCGACGACGGCGTCCCGTTTCGTATCAGAGACGCCCGTTTCATCGTGTTCGTGATGGCCGATGTTCTGTCCTTCTTCAGCGCTTCCACCTCGCTCGTCGTGTTCCTCGTCATCCTGACTTCGAGATTCTCTTCCGACGACTTCCACAAGTCGCTCCCGAGAAAGCTGATACTGGGGCTCCTCACCTTGTTCATCTCCATCGCGACCATGCTGGCGGCTTTCTCGGCTGCCCTTTTAACGATCGTCAGCAAAGCTCCGTCGATCGTCGTCCCGGTGATGCCGTTGGTCGGCGTCCCTGCCTTGCTATTCATGCTGATGCAGTACCCTCTCCTTAAGGAGATGGTTTCTTCCACCTTTGGGAAAGGGCTTTTCATCGTCTCTCACTTCCATTTCCCATTTTGTGTGTTTTCGGATTAAATAAAATTTTCCATTTATATTATTCATCATTATATATTATTATTTGTTTAGACATTTTTCCTTTCTGCGGAACGGAAGGAAACATATGATAACAGTCAAATGAAATTCCAAATTTGGCCTTTTCCTCAGAAAGCAACAGCAGCAACGGGGAACGCTCTGTTGTGTACCTCCCTACCTGGAGACTCGGTACACTCCCCGACGGAGATATGAAGAAACGATCGGGTATTACGGAGAGTATATATTCCTCTGTAAAGCTCATATCTATAATGTGAAATTCATTCAAACCTTAAATCGGGGAAGGAAATCGCCGGTGAAGGGAGATGCTGGAAGTGTTCTTCGCGGTGGCGTTCTCGGCGGCGCCGTTGACGCTATACGTCCCACCGGTGAGGAGTCTGAGTCTGTTCGTGGAGACGATAGAGGATATGCTCCGTCGAACGGCAGTCGTTATCCTCCGTACGTTCCCTCGAATCCGCGTGGTGTTCTCCAGAACCTTCCGATCCATCTTCAACCTCTGCATCCTTCTGACGCTGAATTGTATCTCGCTATGTGAGGTTTCCATATGAGAATCAGAACCTGAAAACGACGTCGGATTTGGGAATGTCGCTGTGTTGTAATAATAGACTGAAGTCTTCAGTTGCAATTTTGTGGGTTGATCTTCGACCGTTACCATTTTGTCCCACAGATCTCTGTGCTTCGATTTCCCATATGCCATTTACTAAGACCTTTTCCGGGGTAAAATTGACTTTTTTACTCAACAGTTTGACTTTTCAATAGGACCAAGACTAGAAGATGTATGGACCTTGATTGGTTAGGCTTCGTATAATGGAATAGTGAAATTGACTTATTAAATAAAATAGATTGGATACAAATTTTGAGACTAATTGACAGGCAGAGATGTCAAAAATGCGTAGCCAGCCAATTTTTGACCCAGCCCATTTTGGAATGTAGGATTTAGTTAATTGGGTTAATCCACACCAAATTAAAATTTATATGGGTTAGATATTAGCCGTAAAACCCAACTAAATAAACTAGCTTATATATATATATTAGGGTTAGATTACCCTTGTCCCTTTATAGCCTTTTTTTTCTCTTTGTTTTTTTTTTCCTATATTCTAAGATGCAATTTTTTGTAAATGTTTTATATTCTGTATTTTATTTGGGTTTTTTTTTATTTCGCTTTTCCAATTTAGTTCGGAACAGTTATATTCATTATTATGTCGAGGATATATTTCAAATGAAAAAAAAATATACACATGAGATTAATTTATATATTAAGCTGCTTGTTATGATAATTAGGTCTGCGTATGATTCCAACCAGTTCAAAACAGTAGGGTTTTTTTTTTTTCATGCTACTTAGGGGAGGTGTTATGTAAATGTGAAATATGATTCGAATCCAAAGGGACATGTGATGCAAGCCCATAACATGTTTATAACCATCTTTATTTCATTCAACTAAAGCATTTCATTAACCGACAAGAATGCCAAAATTTCAACGATACCCATATTTTATCCGACGTTGTTTACTGCTTTTTATTTAAATTTAAAAAAGCCAATTACTTATAAAATATACACGTTGAATTGGTCCAAACAATTTGGTACGACTTTGGTAATAATAAATCGAATCCCTATACTTTCGGTGCAAAGTAGTGGAGCTTGCCATGCGACCGAGTCTTATGTTTCTCACTCTCACTTGCCCCGATGCGTCAACCAATTTCCGAGCTTTTCGTTCAATCATTACATCTCTCTCTCTCTCCCCCTCTCTCTCTAATTGAAAATGTAAAATAAAATTGCTTCAGGAGACATGCACATGTTCATCTCTCAAAATTGTATCCGACGTACGACGAGTAATGACCAATCACTCAAAATTGGAACGGAAGGCTTCATTATTATAACAAAACAACATTCTCAAATCCGACGTCGTTTTCAGGTTCTGAATCTCATATGAAACCTCAGGGGGAGATAAGATTCAGCGTCAGAAGGATGCAGAGATCTACCTAGATAGTGAGGTTGAAGAATGGATCGGAAGGTTCTGGAGAACACCACGCGGATTCGAGGGAACGTACAGAGGATAATGACTGCCGTTCGATACAATTTTGAATCGTATTTATTTATGTTATATCTATATTTTATTTTTATTTCGTTTCTTAATTTTCCTATAAATATAAATATGTGAATTAAAAAAAGAAAGATCTAGAAATAAAGTAATTCCGTTTATTTTTATTTATCTTATTATGTTTCTATATTTTATTTTTTCTACATTTTGTTGGTTGATCTTTGAATATGCAATTTATAAAGACTTTGAATTGGGGTTTTTTTTCGGTGTAAAAAATAAGAAAAATCGCCAAAAAAACTCTGTACTCTTTTTAGATCAACAAAAAACCTTGTTTTACTTACTAATTAAACCATGTATTTTGTATGATTAACCTATAAAATCCTGAACTTTTTAAAAATTCACTAAAAATCCCCTTCGACTGCCAACTCAAACAAAAAAAAATGATATGGCAATGACATGGCCATGTCATTGTCACATCATCATTTTAAATAAAATTTAAATTAAATAATTTATTTAAATTAATATATATACATACAAATTCACATATATATATATATTAAATATAAAATTACTTATAACTAATAAAATATATATAAATATATCTATAATATATACATATTATTTTTTAATATAATTTATAATATATATATTGTAGATATATATATGTTTTATTAGTTATAAA